TAGAATCAATGCATATCTAACATTTCCTCATTAGAATATGTTAAAACTAAAACAACACACAACATTCCATTACCAAAATAGATGCATCAATAAAAATATATAAATATGTAAATCAACAGATAAACAAATACACTAAAAATCTTAAAAAGCACACTCACCTCAATCTGCACCAGTTTCTGCTTGTAATAATTGATGAGATTCTCATTGGGCTGCCAGTGCATGGCCCGCAGCTCAATTACCTCCAGGAGACGGTATCTGGCGGCAAGATTGAGCCTGTCGTCCCTGCACCCATTCCGCAGAGAGATGTAGCACTTGTCGAGTTGGTCTGTGTGGAAGTTTGAAATCGTTGGTTATTTGGGGAGAGGGAAGGCAGTGGTTGGAGTAGGATGCTGCGAATAGTAAGAATGGGAGCGGAAATGTGTTAGCTGTGAAATGGAATGATGGTAAAGGCTATGGTGATTATGTTGATGGTGATAGTGATAAGGATGGTGATGGTGATGAAGATGGTAATGATGATGATGGTGGTGGTGATGATCCTAATGATGATCCTGATAATGGTGATGGTGATATAGATGATGATGATGATGATGACAGTAATGATGGTAATGATGATGAACATGTTACTAATGACAGTAATATAGATGATGTTGATAACCATTATCCTCCTCCTCAAAAAAACATTACGAGCCAACCTCACCTTTGTACACGTTTTCGAGCTGCGGTCCAAACATCTTGAGGTTCTCACACAGGGCAGCAATGGTGGGGTAGACACTGCGGTCATAGGTGCCCGAGTTCAGGTACTGGGCTACCAAGTCCATGTCTGAGAGGACGTTTTCCACTGGAAGTTTAAAGGGTTGTTAACATGGATTTTTGGGATATTCTTTGGCTTTTGTTACCTTTCTTCCCTTTCCTCTTCTCTCTCTCTCTCTCTCTCTCTCTCTCTCTCTCACTTTCTTTATTACTTTCCTTAAAATGGAATGAGGTATTTTGAATTTTAATTTAAACTCACTAACTCACTCACTCACTCACTCACTCTCTCTCTCTCTCTCTCTCTCTCACTTTCTTTCTTTATTTCTTTCCTTCAAATGGAATGAGGTATTTTGAATTTTAATTTAAACTCACTAACTCACTCACTCACTCTCTCTCTCTCACTTTCTTTCTTTATTTGTTTCCTTAACATGGAATGAGGTATATTGAATTATAATTCTAATTTTAACTCACTAACTCACTCACTCACTCACTCACTCACTCACTCTCTCTCTCCTCTCTCTCTCTCTCTCTCTCTCTCTCTCTCTCTCTCTCTTCTCTCTCTCTCTCTCTCTCTCTCTCTCTCTCTCTCTCTCTCTCTCTCTCTCTCTCCCTATCATATTGGACTGTAAAAAAAAAAAAAAAAAAAAAAAAAAAAAAAAAAAAAAAAAAAAAAAAAATTTACTAAATTGTATATAAAGGACACATGAAATACTACACTCTAAACTTAAGATGCATAACCTTCAAAATTATATATAAAAGGCACATTTAACTTACTAGAATGGAATTTAGAAAAAAACATATATTCAAATATAAAAAATGTATAACTTACTAGACTGTAACATAAAAGACACATAACTTAATATAAAAGACACATTTAACTCACTAGACTGTAATAATAAAGATATATATATATATATATATATATATATATATATATATATATATATATATATATATATATAACCCACAAAATGCTGTATACAGGGGACATATAACCCATTACTCAGTAACTTAAAGAAATATACAACTTGATACTTAAGAAATACATAAATTACCAAAAAATAGAAAAAAATATAGAACCAAGCATAAAAAACTAAATAACTTAATACAAAAGACACAAAGAACTCACTAAACTATAATGCATACTTGATACACAAGACATACCTATCTTACAACACCACAACACAAAAAAATACATACTTAGTATAAAAAAAAAATCACAATAAAGACACATAACACTTACTACTCTTATTACATAAAAGACACATTCAGCTCACTAAATTATAATATAAAAGATACACAGAACTCACTAGACTGTAATATAAAAGCTACATAGAACTCACTTGGCCATAATATATAAAAGATACACAGAACTCACTAAACTATGATATAAAATATATATTGAACTCAATCGACTATAATATGAAAGATGCATAGAACTCACTAAACTATTAATAAAAATACATCAAACTCAGTCGACTATAATATGAAAGATGCACAGAATAATATAAATAACAATACAAAAGATACACGGAACTCACTCGACTGGTCTCCCAAAGTACAGATCTTCAGTGGGCGGGGCTTCTCCACCTTCCCCTTCCGGTTCTTCAAAGGCATGCTCAACTGTGAAGGAAAAAAATTATACATTAGCTTTTATTTGCCGTAAACTGAAGGATGGGTGTGTAGGTATGTGGAACTTTGATGGATGCTTTTTTGTGTTGTGGTAAGATGTCGAGGATGATTTTTGACTGTCTGTCTACTTGCTCTCTGTCTATCTCTCGTCTGTCTGTCTGTCTGTCTGTCTATCTGTCTGTCTCTCTCTCTTTCGCTCTCTCTACTTCATCGCTTTCAAAGAAATTGACATGAACATATGATTACGATCACAAATAAGGTTTATCAAAAACCAAGACAAAATTCCATAAAAAAACAAATGTTTATAAGAAAAATAAGAAAAATAAATCAACGCTGGATTCGAGAAAATAAAAGGAGCAAATTTCTCTCCCAAGATGACTCACTTCTGGGTCGCCCAGTGAGACGCGACGCCTTCGGATCCTTTTATTCAGCTTTGGCTTCGACTTCGTAGTGGTTTGCAACTTTGCATGTTTATGGAAAAGCAGTTTACGAGCTGTTCAATATATGTCAGTCTGATGACTTATAATGACTGAAACATACTCGGGTCTTCGGCAAGTGAACTCAGAGACATGTCTTTACGCGACCGAACTCACAGACGCATAAGACTCACAATATGATAGACGTTTTCTTCAGATGACCAATCGCATTCCTCTCCTCCATGAGTATTCCAAATTTCTACGAACCAATCCTGCGCTGGCAATCACAGAACGAATGACAGCCAGACATGCAAGTCAGACACAGATTTTCGGACAAGTTCACCGCATGCATGGCGACATCATGACATCATGAACTGAGGATTATCTCCATAGACAAGAAATGTTTAGTCTAGTCTCCGCATAAATAGGACCCAGACTCTCTTATCTCTCAGTTTCTACCTTATCAGGGGGAGAAGACGAGAAACACGAGATGGATGAGAGGAAAACAAACAAGAATATGATATGCCTAATATCTATAAGCGTTTACATGGTATTCATTTCTATTTATACCCTCGAAAATTATCTTCGGAATCAACAAGCCTGAACGAAAAATCTTGTGACCGTTAGAGAACAAAAACTGTTATGTCTAGACTTTTTTTCACTCACAATAATAGTGAACACAACGAAGACTAACTCTTAAGAGAGGAAAACAAAAGCCATTTTTTTCATGTTAGTAAATCCTTTTACTTTTCAAAGAGTCAATCTGTATCACATACATTATCTTTCCATCAGCTTTTAAATTCAAATTCTTAAAAAAAAAAAGTGAATAATATTCCCTTAACTGCAAGATATATTATTTCTTATCATCCAAAGAGGAATAACAACCTAATTTCCGAGTAATCCAAGTTCGAAATAACGCTCCGAGTAGTCTAGGAAGTCGAGGCCAATTCGTGGGGGAAGACATGGTAGAAGAAGAGGCTCGGCCATGCTTGACGACTTCCACTCGACCATCTGGCAGACTCTGAAGTCCCCAAAAGACGCTTTTTCTTCATTTTCTTCTAAACCTCTTCTGTTCTCTTCTCGTCTCTCTTTTCCCTTCTCTTCTTCTCTAGTATTCTCCTCTCTTCTCTTAGCCTCTTATATATCATCCTTTTTTCTTATCACGTGTGCGAATGGTCTTGTCAGAATGAGAGTTGGAGGAGGAGGAGGAGGAGGAGGAGGAGGAGGAGGAGGAGGAGGAGGAGGAGGAGGAGGAGGAGGAGGAGAGAGAGGGAGGAGAAGAAGAAAAAAGAGAGAACTGGAGAATAAAAAGACCGCGGGGATAATGATAGAGATGCGGGAGAGGGGGATGGTAGTGATGGAGGAGATGGAGGGGAAGGGGAGCAAAAGAAGGAAGATTGGTGGATGTCCGGAAGGAGGAGGCGGAGGAAGAGGAAGAGGAGGAGGAGGATGGGGGAAAACGGATTATTGGGCTAAGAATAAGCTCTGACAGAGACAGACGCAGAGAATACTCGAGAGAGAGAGAGAGAGAGAGAGAGAGAGAGAGAGAGAGAGAGAGAGAGAGAGAGAGGAGAGAGAGAGAGAGAGAGAGAGAGAGAGAGAGAGAGAGAGAGAGAGAGAGAGAGAGAGAGAGAGAGAGAGACCGATAAGGAAGGATAAAGAGACGCAGACTCAGATGACAGACAAGAAACCACGAAAACCAAAATTCCCAAACAAGGGGGACACGCCCAACCCTGTCGACATACTCGCGCCCGAGGGACAAAGTTATAAAAGAGAGGAACATCTTACGTCCCATAAATCTTGTTATACGAAAGAACTGTATCTTATCCATCAAACGAATACGAATTAATTATACTGAATTTTATAAATCTCAACAAACTAGAGAAACTGCGATTCCTCGAACTAGACGAACACGTAACGTCTTCACAAAATGAAAGGAATTTAACGTCTCATCAATACTAGAGGATCGCTCGACGTCTTATCAAAATTAAAGGAACGTCCAACGTCTTATCAATAGTAGAGGAACGTCCAACGTCTTATCAATTGTAGAGGAACGTCCAACTATCAGAAGCAGAGGAACGTCCAGAAGCAGAGGAACGTCCAACGTCTTATCAGAAGCAGAGGAACGTCCAACGTCTTATCAGAAGCAGAGGGACGCCTTTCACGTCTTCCTCTCTCGTTCGTCGAGCACCTTCGCCTCCACCCCGCACGTTCCTTCAGGGAGGCAGAGAGGAACGTCCTCCGCGCAGCCCCCTCCGCCACCGCAGCGGGGAACGGACCTGCGGTGTGCCTCTCCCTCCTTCCGCCTTCGGGAATCTATCCATTATCCATTATTCATAATCCCATTTTTATTCAAGTCCTTGTTTTCTTGTTTTCTTCTTATGGGTTATATATTTTCACATGAGTTGTTTATTTCTTTTCTCTTCTTCCTATTGCCGTGGGAGTTTCGGTGGGGACGTAGAAGCAGGGGTAAATGATCAAATAATGTGAATGTTTTGGGTTGATTGGACACGGAAACTGTTCAGGTGGGTTGCGTGAGACTCATATTTTCTCTCTCTCTCTCTCTCTCTCTCCTCTCTTCTCTCTCTCTCTCTCTCTCTCTCTCTCTCTCTCTCTCTCTCTCTCAATGTGTGTGTGTGTGTGTGTGTGTGTGGTGTGTGTGTGTGTGTGTGTGTGTGTGTGTGTGTGTGTGTGTGTGTGTGTGTGTGTATGTATGTGTGTGTGTATGTATGTGTGTGTGTGTGTATGTGTGTGTGTATGTGTGTGTGTGTGTGTGTGTGTGTGTGTGTGTGTGTGTGTGTGTGTGTGGTGTGTGTGTGTGTGTGTGTGTGTGTGTGTGTGTGTGTGTGTGTGTGTGTGTTCACTTACTTCCATATCGGCATGAACATTTACCTGAACTGTTCATCCAACCTGCTCATGCACGTAGGCTGTCAGTGTGGGCAGGTGTGGGAGAAGCAGAAAGGTGTGGGAGAAATTGAAGGACGCGGGGAGAGGGGAGAAGAGGGGGAGAGTGATGAGGGGGAGGATAGAGAGGATGATGAGGGAGGAGGAGGTAAGAGGAAGATGAGGGGGAAGAGGGAGGAGGGGAGAAAGGGGGAGGGGAGGAGGGAGAAGGGGGGGAGGGGAGGAGGGAGAAGGAGTTGTGAGGAAGAAGGGAGAGGGGGGAGGGGGAGGAAAAAAAAGAGAGGGAGGGTGGCGAGAAAGGAGGAAAAAGAATAGAGGAAGGTGAGGGGGGGGCGATGAGAGAGGAAGGAGGAAAAAGAACAGAGGAAAGAAGAGAGAGAGAGGGGGGGGGGGGGGGAGGGCGCACATCACGAGCACCATGACATCATCAGATAGGGGAGGGGGGGGGAGGGGGGGGGGAGGGCACCATGACATCACCTCAGTGGGCGGACCGACCCGTTAACCACGACACTGACGAGACGGGCGTGGAGAGCCGCCCACGTCGCGCCCACGCCCCTGCACAGTGATGATGACAGAGGTGATGTAACTTCAGGTAGTTGAGCTTTCGGACGATTGTGCAAAGTGCTTTGAGCAAGCAGGGAGGTGGGGGGGAGGGATGCGTTCGTGTGTTTACATACATACATACATACATACGAACACAGACACACAGATAGACACAAAAATATACATATATAGACCAAAATATATAATATTCATATATTCACAATTATGCATGTATGTATGTATCATTTAAAGTACGTACGTATATGTGTGTGTATGTATATTTATGTGTTTTTGTGTAAGTGTACGTATATGTATATATGTATATACATGTAAATGTGCCTGTACATGTGTATGTTTATGCATGCGCATTTATGTCTGTCTGTATGTACATTCAAATATGCATATTTATGCATGTGTATATGTGTATGTATATGTCTACCTATGTATGCATATGCACGTATATATAATCACACAACACACACACACACACCACACACCACCACACACACACACACACACACACACACACACACACACACACACACACACACACACACATGTAAATCTATATAATTAGGCTCCCCCAGCTACCAATCGCCTAAGTCGCCAGCTCGCCAGTCTAGAGGCAGCCACCCCCTTGTAAAACAGCTATTGAACTCCTCTCCGCCCACACGTGCGTCGTCTGCAGAATGTAAACAAAAGCACTTTCTCCCTGGTTACTGGACTTCGATATCAAATACACGTTTTTTTTTTTAGTATATTTACTGATGTTGATTTTCTTCTATCTTTATTTCTTATTTATTTTTCATATTCTTTATATTATTTCTCATACCTTATTTGTTAATTTTTTAATTATTATAATTTTCTACAAGGTTGTATGATTTATGGGTGTGTCTGAGAGTGTATGTATCTATGTTTATGTGTATGCGAGTAGGTAGATGGGTTAGTGAGTGAATTTGTGAGTATGAGTAAAGACGGTGAGTCAGACAGGGCAAGTTAGAGCACGAGTGAGAAAAGGTGAATAAATGAGTGAATGAGTGAATGAGTAAACGCATGAACTCAAAAAAAAAATCCATAATAAAAAAATGCAAGCGATTACCCCTAAAGTTTACACTCCCCCCCCCTCCCCCCGCCTCTGATCGACCGGCGGTTTCATTAACGAGC